TGTGTGTGTGTGTGTGTGTGTGTGTGTGTGAGTGAGTGCGCGTTGGCCGTGCGTGTGCGTGTGTTGTTTTTTTTTTTTTTTGTTGTTGTTGTTTTTTATGTGTGGTGCAGAAGAAGACGAGTTTAAATGCAGACATTTTGCGCCCTGGCACCCTGCTGAGAAGAGACGTGGACAAATGAGTGCCGTCCAAGTCTGACTCACAGCATCAGACTGTTTCTCTGCACGCTGAGGCATCTGCACACAAACTTAACAACATGCAGCTGCTGCGACACATTTCAGGCTGTAATATATGCATACTGACTACTGATCAGTTTATGGCCAAACAGGTTGTCTGGAGCAGAGTTTTCCTCATTAAAAATTCGGCTTCATTAAATGCAGTTATAATACTGCAGTGTCAATCCCGCAGTGGGCAATATCATAACGAATTACGGATTGATTTTCTGCTTAATGCAGCTCTGTGCATCTGCAGAGTCAGGTTGTAGTGTTTTAAATGCGGGCTCAGTCTACTTACACTTGCTTTTCAAATAAGACATAAGCAAGGCTAAGTATTGCTGATAATAGTTTATTAATGAAAGTACATGATCAACTGTGCATGTGCGCGCTCACACGCACTCACACACACCTTTAGACTCGGGTTTAGCTGTTTTGTAATGTGAAAATAAACTCATTGTAAATGCATTTATCTGTAGAGTTCCTCCTGACGAGCTGCGTGTGGTTCATTGATGCAAAGACAACAACGGTGCACCGGAAAGGGTGATTATGCCGGGAAACATGTTTTCACGTCTCTTATTAGAAACCAGCCCCACCCTATAGCTCTCAGATGGAAAAATGTTAATCTCATTTGACACAATCCTAAAAAAAAAAAAAAAATCCCTAATTATCAGACCCAAAATTCAAGAATAGTAATTGTTATATATTATAATTAGTAAATATCCGGCCCAGGTAATGATTTGCATTGTAGTTTGTGATAAAATAAATACATATATACATACACATCTCAGATAATAGAAACTGTTCTTTTGTCAGATATTAGCCTAATTATTGTAGCCAGCCAGCATTTTTCATAGGCAAGCTACTATTACAGCATCTAAAATTGTGATCAATTATTTTTCTAAAACAATAAAAAGCAGAGGCAATTATTAGGGCCTCAAAAAATATAGCAGCAAACTACATTTTTATCAAATGAAATCTGCAAGACGCTTTTGAATTTCCCCAAAAACGGAATGTTGATGTTCATGAAGCCACAGTTTGTTGGAGTAAGAAGTCACTGGGATGTGAAGTGCACATTTAGAGCATCACGGTGGGGCTGGTTTGGCTATCGTTGACACGGTTTTGTTGTCATAATTGGAGTCTCGCTAAAGTTACAGGGAGTAATTGGGCGGCATATGGACACCTTAATGTAAAGTGATGCCTTATTAATTTCACATGAGTGCACGAATCAGAGCAAGTGACGCGGAATAACACAAGGGAAGAGGCAGTTGATTTACCCCTGAGCAAGGCAGCAGGTCTGGCATCTGCTGCCCGTCCATGATGGCATTTTTATTAATTGGGGAAAAATAAAAATAAAAAGTAAATTCCTTAATTCAAGTCGTTTCATTAGTATGGCATTAGTTTGTTCCTGTTTGGTCACATTATCCACACTTTCGGACTGAAGAAAACTTCTTTAAATGCTCTGATGTGGGATTTCAAACTTTTGAAGCTTAAAAAGAAAAATATCTCTCTTTAGCTCTTAATGTAGCACTGGCTTGTCGCCTGCTAACTGGCTGTCAGTGAGGTCGAAATGGTAATTTTTTTTATCCATGCTGCTTATTTTCTACTTGCTTTTTAAGCCTCAGAATAAGGTAAAACACCGTCAAACAACGCCACGTATAACGCTTTAATACTATTTGTAATTTGTATAAGTAGAGGCATGTGTTTTCCTTTAATAAATAATCCAGCTGTGCATTTCTATAATCGCCTTATTGAAATAAAATAATAATTTGCAAGACTTATATATATATACGCCTAAAATGCCAGAGACAAAAGACATATAAAAGCATGTATATTTTTAGGTTTGTTTATTCTAACAAATCAAAGGCCTTAGCCTGAGTTCCTCCAGGAATTATAATTTTATTCAGTATTGATTGGCGCGGTGTGGTGTGTTTTCAAGGCCTTTACTTCAAATATGCTGTAAAGGCCAGCCACAAATACTGCAATGCACATTTTTAGAAACGCGCACAGAGAGGAATCATTTCATGTCTTCTCAAATATTTTAACGTTCAACATATCTGTATTTTCCACTAACATTCTTGATTTTTCATGAAATAGATTTTCAGGGTAACAACATTTATGGAATTCGAGACTTAAAAGGTGAAGCAATAAATCAGTTTGTGGGTTCAAAAGGATAAAACAGGAGAATTGTGATTTATTTTCAAAAAGCTAATTCAGTTTCCCCCATGCATGCGCCCTTATATCATATGGGCTCGTCCGCCATTAATGACCATAGGCCAAACTCAAGTAGCCCCATTTATAAAAGTTTAGTTTCACCAGATGCCATTTAGCAAAGGCTTATTCCTAAACAAGTTGTAATTGTCATTTTGAACATCTATAACGCTTGCAACGCTGTGTCACTTTGCAGAGCTGGCGAAATATTGATCCACGGTCCTCTCTGCAAGGCATTATATTGTTTCTGCTCGGATATGCTGCTGTGGGCTTCACGAGAAAGATGGCCCTGATTAATAATCAGTGTGGAACCTGTAAGTAATTGACACAGTGGCTTCAGGTGCCCATTTGTGTGGCCTCACTTTGCTCTGGCATATGCTTTATTTTTATTTTTTATTTTATTTTTACATATAAGGCTGGATTATACAAACGAAAGAATACATTTTAGCTTCTGCATATGCACACCCGCACTTGTTCTAGTTCTTACTTGTTGGTCTGTGCCTCTGTCTCCTTTGAACTAATTGAATTGAATTCCCCTTGAAATGTATCCTCTTTCAGAAGTGCTCAGAAAACCGTTTCCCTTATATTCTCTGCAAAGCAAATGTCACCGGCTCTTAAGGCCAGGCCTATCTCGGCACAATGGCCATAGAGAGAGCCAACACACATAAACACACAGCTCAAGCCCGTGCAGACATGGCAGGAGCTTATCGATCCGAATGAGAATGTGTAGATGAGGTTTGCTGCCATGTAAGGCCAAACCTTGGCCTTTCATACTCCTCCGTCTTTCTGCATCTCGTTTGTGTCCCTGAGTCTCTGCGCGGGTCCGCAGCGAAAGGAAAAGCAGAGTAAACTGGCCTACAAATAAAAGTTATATCAGAAAGAGAGCTATTCAATTTTATAGAATAAGGGGAAATTATCTTTATATTAGGAGATTAAAAAATCGGATTTAATTCAAATTAAATTAAAGTGTAGGTACCCCAATATGAGGCAGGATGGAGTTTTTAATTAGTAAGTGTTCATATTCTCTGTGTTTTTGTTTCCCTGTTGTCAGCCCTATTTGCCTGCCTCTATTATGTCCACAGGACTACACGGTTGGACAGCCACACTTCGAGGAATTAGTTGTCTTTTGTCTCGACACACGTCACACACACGCCGTTGACATTGACTTCACATCAGAGACAGTTTAACTTCTTCTCTCTTTTTTTTCCTTTTCTTTTATTTAACTCGTTCAACCGAGCGCTGGCTCTATTGTGGGGACCCTGACAGATGCGGGGCCCCTAGCAGGTCCAGGACAGGGAAAAGTCTGAAAGGTTAATCTGTCCCCCCGCAGATGTTGGCTTTGGGAGTCTTGAAGCGTCACCTTTGACATGTCCCTCATTCAGCAGGGGGTCCAGCAGGACACTGACCGCTGCAAGCTGTCACCTCGGCCGGCTGAGGACGCCCTGCGCTACCGCTCTATTAGGCTAAACGGCCCCTGACATGTAAGCAGGGGCCCGGCTTTCATCGGGCTGCAGGTTTGAGGAGTTTGACACTCGTGCAGCATAATGCGTTACTACAACACCGGGATACCAGTCATGTTACGTGTCAGCATGTCATTTCCTCCAGGGCCTTGGGTTGTAGAGAGATGCTGTAAATGTGTTTGTGAGTGTGAGTTTGTATCGTTTGGAAGTCCCTGCAAAAATAAATACTCTCTTATTTGAATAAAAGTTCGTGTTGGCTCTTTTCAAATCACTCTCAAACTTAAGAATGACATGTGCATGTGTCCAACTCCAAATAGGACAAGCGTGTGCACTCACACACACACACACACACACACACACACACAGTGCTGGGCTTGGTTCGTTAAGCCTAATGGTTGAACAATAGACACATCTGCTCATCTTTTTCTATCAAAAGAGAAGGTACTACAGTCTTCCTCGTTTGGTTAAACCGCCACATATTTGGCAGGGGGGGTGATGGGGGTGGGGGTTGCAGCTGAAGGAGCAATCATAAAACAAGAATGGATCTATGTGGTGCCATGAATACATAGGATCTAACTTTAGTGGCAACCCTTCAGCTAATAATTATGCTTTTTATTTTTATGTTTTCCTGAGAAGAGTGTTTCACTGGAGGTGTTGAGGTTTTGAATCCCAGACCTCACTAGTTAAAAATCAACTCCAAATGAACCCGGAAGTTTATTTCATTTGCACCTAATAATTTAAGGAGGACTGGGGATAATGCCTCATAATATCCCTAATGAATCCAACCTTTTCTAAATGACAATCGGCAATCAGACACTGGGCGCTGTATCCGGTCCATTTCCACTGGTAGATCCTCTGAGGGTTTTATTACAGATCCGTCTATTTGCATTTTTTAACATTTCAGTGGCTGCTGAATATGGCTTAACGGGAGGATAGCTTTTAGCAGATGGTTTGATACCTCCCTTCCTTAATAAGGTAGCTGACGTCAGAGCCATGGGGGCGGTGTGTGTGCGTGTGTGTGTTTGAGAGAGAGAGAGAGAGAGAGAGAGAGAGAGAGAGAGAGAGAGAGAGAGAGTAGATGGGTGTCCACAGTGCGCATGTGTAGACAGTGATCTGTGCTGCGGTGGAACAGTGGCTGGAGACACACAACTAGAGAGATGGCGCTGCACCCGACCGGAGCGCAAGGACAGCTGGTTGGCGGTGGGGGGGCTTGAATCATAAAGAGAATAGGAACATTTAAAAAAAATAATAAAGAAAGAAATATAAAGGGAAAAAAAAGGATTCGGGAAAAGGAGTTTCCAGTCTGCAAAAAAAGCGTCAGAGGAGAGAAGAAGAAAAAAATCAAATAGGTGAATTTAAAGACAGAGAGGAGGTGACAGCAAAGGAGGCTGCTACAAGAAGAAGAAAAAAGCAACAAAAGAAAACTGAACTTTACTGGACGTGTGGACTTCTGGACATCAGCTAACTGCGGTAGGTCAGATAGATGGTTTGTCCACAGCGCTGCCCGGATCATGAACGCACAGCTGTCGATGGAGAATATTGGCGACCTGCACGGAGTGAGCCATGAGTCCGTGGCCGGTCACGGAGAGCTGCTGAGTGGCCACAGTCCACATTCCCGTCCAAGCCCCCGGGGTCTGAGCCACCGCGCTATGGGCATGGCGACCCTGCTGGACAGCGGAGACTATCACCCCAGCCACCCCGGACACCTGCATCCAGCCATCAGCATGTGTGAAGCCCCCCCTGGCATGAGTGCAAGCAGTACTTACACCACCCTAACCCCCCTGCAGCCCTTACCCCCCATCTCCACCGTGTCCGACAAGTTTCCTCCGCATCATCACCACCACCACCACCACCACCATCCCCATCATCCTCACCCTCATCCCCACCAGAGGATCCCGGGAAATGTCAGCGGCAGCTTCACGTTGATGCGAGAGGACCGGAGTCTGGCTCCTATGAACAGTCTATATCCCGCATATCATCACAAGGATCCCTGCATGGGCCAGAGCCTCTCACCGCTGTCTGGCTCCGGTCTGGCCAGCATACACACGACCCAGGCCGGGATCCCTCCATACGCTCATCCCGGTGCCGCCATGCCCGGTGAGAAGATGCTCACCCCCAGCGGGTTTGAGGCTCACCACCCGGCCATGCTCGGCAGACACACGGAGCAGCACATGAGCTCCTCGGCGGGCATGGTACAAATCAACGGCCTCCACCACCACCCGCACGCCCACCTTGGCGCGCAGGGGCACGGCCAGGGGCTGGGGAACAGCCGGGAGCAGGCCTCCGGGCCGGGGCAGCAAGGGGGCGGCGGTGGAGGGGGTGGTGTTTCTGGGGGCCAGATGGAGGAGGTGAATACCAAAGAGGTGGCGCAGAGGATCACCACGGAGCTGAAGCGCTACAGCATCCCTCAGGCCATCTTTGCCCAGCGGGTCCTGTGCAGGTCCCAGGGGACCCTGTCCGACCTGCTGAGAAACCCCAAACCCTGGTCCAAGCTCAAGTCCGGCAGAGAGACCTTCCGCCGCATGTGGAAATGGCTGCAGGAGCCTGAGTTCCAACGCATGAGTGCGCTCAGGCTCGCAGGTGAGCGAAGCCTCGGTAAAGCCCCTTTTTGTTTTCATCCTCTGAATGTGTTGCTGAGAATAACAAACGCTTAGACAGGATCGTTGGCCCTGAATGCTACCTTATGGGTGAGGTTGGTTGGCAGCCAAAACTGATTTTGGAGTTTTTATAATAACAGAGAGAAAAAAAAACTAAACATTTTCCAGCATTTCCAAGTGTAATGTAGCATCACATCATGGTAACATTCAGGACGAATGTTCCTTCTGGGCTGATTATCAAAATAACATTTAACATCGTGTCTCCAGAAATTAAACCTGCCTCAAGATTTAATGAGCTGACTCTGGCTTCTGTAGATTTGCCCTCCAAATAAGAGATTTACGCCTGGAGTCTGCCTGGTCTGCTGGATTCTCAACCCCACCAGTGTGTTAAACAACATGTGAAGTTACTAAAGTCATACAATGCCTCAGCAAGCTGATGCTCGTGCACCAAATGAGTGGCCTGATATCAATACGCTTCCCTTTTCTGTGTCCGCACTGATTTTGGGGTTGTGTGAAACAAGTGCTCATGTCATTTTACCTCAAAATATCGACCGCTGGACTGTGTGCGTAAGCCGATCCTTGGCCCAGAAATCGTTAGGAATGTGTTTATTTTGGTGTAGATGCAACTGATCAGCCTTTTTTTTGGCGGTGTTGCCCTTGGTGTAAACAGAAAGAGAGAGAGAGAGAGAGAGAGAGAGAGAGAGAGAGAGAGAGAAAAGTATCTGCGCACGTGTTCTTGTTAGTCTGTGCTAAACTAAATTTAAATGTGAGGTAAAGCTGAAGCCATGCATTATTTAGTCAGTGAAATGGGCTTTGTCTCTCTCTGGTCAATTTATAGGCCTTCATTTCAGATTAGAATAGAATCGAGAGCATGTGTTTTTGTTTTGATCGTAAACTAACCATGACTTGACTGAGGTTTCTCTAATTAACTGATAGACCTCTGTATTAATTTGTCCCTGAGGTACCAACGAGTCAATTAGGGTGGGAGAAGAGGCCCAAATCACACGTGCTCGTTCACAGACATCCAGTGGATTTAAAAAAAACGTTTATAGGTCCAATCAATGACCTACAAATGGGCTTTTTGGCTTTTTGAAAAGTGAGGCTTCGGCCACTTAGTGGAAAGTGCGTGCATTTGCGTGTGTGTGTGTGTGTGTGTGTGTGTGTGTGTGTGTGTGTGTGCGTGTGTGTTTACGTGCATGCTTACGCGCAGGCACGTGAGTGTACTCGCAATAGATTATTTTTCAGTTTTCCCATCTGCTGCTGCTGCTGTGTGTGTGTGTGTGTGTGTGGTTAGGGGGTTGTTGTTTGAACATTTGAGATTTAATCACTGACTTTTTCAGATTAATTTAAGGATAATCTTATTTAAAGCTTTTGAATGTTGGTTTTGTATTTTGTCTTTAGTGCGATCAGCCTATAATTAAAACAACAATCGGAGCAGTCACCTATTGATTAGGATTGGCGATGTCTTTTTTTTTGAAGAAGGAGAAATTCATACTGGCCACAATGGGAAAATAAATGTCTCAGGCCTACGGTAGTTGCTTTCAGTATTTTTCTCTGTTCACATTTTATTAAGCATGTTGAGTTGTGTCTCGTTTTATCGCAACTTTTTTATTAAAAACTAATAAATTGAAAGTTTCTCTTGAGCAAAAATTTAAAATATACAAATTATGTCTTTTTTGGAAAACGCCCCCCAAAAAAAGTTAACAGTTAAAAACTCAGTTAATCTGGAGAGAAAAGGCAGAGCGCCATTTTATTGATCCGGTCGTTAGGTGAACAATATATGTGATCGTGTGCTGAAGTAGATGTGATATATTTATTGATTTTAGGCTTCTGAAATTAATCTCGGGCCTTTCCTACTTTTCCCACGTATTCAATTACCCAGCTGAATTTGCTTGTAAAGATCAGGATAGAAACTGTTTGGATGTAGGCAGAAATGAGAGATCAGTTCAGTCTCAGTGAATCAGTTGCAGAGGTACTGCACAATGCTTTTTTCAGAATTTCATATTCATTTTTTAGACATTGTAAGTGAATATCACCTGTATATCACATTAAAATACATGTTGTCACTGGAGTAGTTAGAAGGTCGGTTTTCCAGTTGCCTATCTGTAGCCTTTTCAGCACAGAGGTCTGTTTGTTGTTCTCTTTTGCTCTCTGTGAGATTATGAAACGCAGGACTATCGTCACACCGTGTCAGTAGGCCCTCCGTGTGCAGTCTGTTTGAGTGTGTGGAGTTATCTGTGTGTTTGTAATGATTAGCCGGTAGCAGCAGCAGCAGTGTGTGTGTGTGTGTGTGTGTGTGTGTGTGTGTGTGTGTGTGTGTGTGTGTGTGTGTGTGTGTGTGATTAGCGTGATAACAAGGCCGTTGTTATGTCCCCCTGGTCCTGGGATAGCTGCCTCTCTGCCAGCGCCTCCTGGGCCGGGGCCGGGCCGTTCTCTGTGGTGGCTCCTGCTGTCTGAGTGGCCTTCAGTCTTGCTGATTTATAGCTGCCCTTACTCGAGAAGCTCCAGCTCTCTGTTAATATTTACCAGCACTGGAGACACCGGGCTGCTCATACTCACTATTATAGTCCAGTTTATGGTCATGCGGATAGGTCGTTGCACTGTACTGATGCACTGGTGAGCTAAAATGAGGTTACTAGGTGGGCTCGGCTAAATGAGCTTGACTGGATAATTATGTTTATTTTAATCTCTCCCTAATGAAGCTTACTGCTACTTTACTACACTTGAATTTGGAAGGCAATTACAGATCAAAACGAAAAACGAAACATTTTATACAAATGCCAGTAAAGTGAAGTAGCCTAACAAGCCACTTTAAACGCACTGTTGATCAAACACACATTCCTTATGTAAAATAGAATTGGTAGGTCATTTTTACAGTACAGTGATACGCTGAGAATGACTGTTTTTGCCATTTCCCTCCATATTTGATTGGAAATTGGGAATCTTATTGGTTTATTTAGTCGGTTTCCTTTGTACTTTAATTTGAGGTTTTCTGTAATAAAATGTTTTTAGTCACACGGTGCAATTTCATCTTGCAAAATTAATCAGCAATGGTTATTAAGGATTGCTTTGTGGTTGCAATATGCTGTTCATTAATTTTCCCGGTGAGTCCATATTGGGCCTTTCTCCAGCAGCCCACGTCTGCCCCCTCCTGGTCTCTGCTCACTGGTGATCCTCAATTTGGATGGTTGAACTGGAGCTTAAAGGGGGGGGGGGGGTTTGCTGGATTCCCATGTTCGTCTGTCTAATATTAGATCATCTGTAGTTAATTTTTCCGGAGCTGCAGTATGTTGCGGGGTAGGCTACGGTTATTTTCAGCACCGCGGACAGCGCTCATTGTTCCCCGGCTGGCAGGCTTCCCGACCGCCTGCTCAGCACCCTGCGCTGGTCTGTAGAGCAACAGTGGACCATGGGGCTCCAAGGGGTCGCTGACAATCTGCGGAAGAGTTTAATTCCGCTCTTATTTCCCATTTTGCCCAATGAAAGAGTGTTTCTGTGTTTGGAACAAAAGTACCAACCTGCAGATGGTTGCGCATTTCTGTCCAAAGTTACATCTGACAGTTAAAACTCTTTTTTATTGACCTTGCCACCACTCCAATATCAAAGAACCTTAACTGCACACTGCTGAATCCAGTGTATGTACTGTAATATTTGTTTTTATCTAACCATTTTTATCTGTTCTAATCAGCACCAGTCAAACCAGAAGAGAAGACCTCTCATTCAAATTAGCGGATGCAATCGTTACAGTTGCTGAAGTCCAGTTTGGTTGGCTTTTACTGCCGATATTTCTGGAGGATTGTGACATTACCATATTGTTTCTAAAAGACACCTTAATTGTGAAATACGCAGCTGTGGAAAGCCGAGTTTGTTTTGGATCTGCATTTGTGCACCAAAATTATATATATTAGAGTCAGTCTGGGTCAAAATGTATTGGAAAATATGATTTATTGGCTTTAAATAATCATAATCAGCGTGTTCCAGTTACAAGACTTCAACGTGAAGTTGTTACGAGGGAGAGCCACTGATGTAATTCATGGGTCAGACATGGATGTGTTCAGGACTGTTTTGTAATCTAAGTTTACCTTTATATTCTGCCCTCTCTCACAAACACTCTCTCTTTATGTTTGTCTCTCTCCCGGATTCACCACAGCATGCAAGCGTAAGGAACAAGACCACGGCAGAAGCGAGCGGGGGAACATGACCAAGAAGCCCCGGCTGGTGTTCACAGATGTGCAGCGGCGGACGCTCCACGCCATCTTCAAGGAGAACAAGCGTCCATCCAAAGAGCTGCAGGTCACCATCGCCCAGCAGCTGGGCCTTGAGCTGGCCACAGTCAGCAACTTCTTTATGAACGCACGCCGCCGGAGCCTAGATAAGTGGGTGGACGACGGCTCCGGTCACTCAGGCCCCAACGCCTGCACCAAAGCCTGAAGATGGACTGATTTGACCAACTCATGGACTGACTCAACCTCGGTGGAAAAGCTTTAAAATTTAAGAGAAACAAAGAGAAACCTAAAAAGACCTTGAAGCAACGTTTTGCCCTTAAACCTGTACTATATTGATATTTATAGTATCCAAAGATGAAAAAACAAACCAAAGACTTCTTGTTTGACCTGCTTTGAAATGTTTGTTTCAGCAACACATTTATGTGTAACATACTGCAAAAAGACTATAGTTTTACCCCCACCCTTCACACACACACACTCACTGTCATTGGTCTATAGCTTTACTACATCCCCCACACCTCCCCACCCAGTATAAATCTATCATTCACCATCCTTATCTTTAATCTGATTGGTTGGTTTTAATGATGGGTCCCTAAATGGAGGTTTAATCAGCCTATTGGCAGTCTGATCTGCAGCTGTCCACACCCTTGAAGAACAGCCAGAATGTGGAGCTCCGGTGGGATTGGCCAATCAACTTTTAAAGACAAAAAAAATCCTACAGGAGCGACTGGATTGTTGTGCAACCTCTTGGATCGGTGGCAGTGGACTGTCTGTCTCTCCAGCTGTCTGTCTTTCTATCAGGCATTCCAGACAGACAAGGAGATGCCCATGTGTAGACTGCTAACCCAAAACCAAAATCCCAACCCTTGAACCAAACCAAAAAAAACCTAACCTCAACCCACATGGTAGTGCTTTCTTCCAACATGCTGAAACGTTGAATAATTTAAACAAGAGAAACCAAAGCCTTCTACACCCTGAAGCCTCTCATGCAGCTTAGAGATAGAACCACATAAGAACCTGCTATGAAGTAATTTGACCAAAGATTATATTTTGTAGTTGATAATCTTAAAACTATTTTTACCTCATTTCCTCCATTGCCTCCTAAGTCAGACTGTTAGTTAGACGCCACTAAGAAGATAATGTTTCTGCTTATAGTCCATACAACATTTTGAGTCATAGTTCAATATATACTCTCTGCAAATGGAAATACTATATGACACAGCCCTGAAAATTAACTATTGACCTTTGCCTTATAGATGCCTTCTTGAATCAAACTAAATATTCCAGTTATATCTTCACAAACAGTCTATGTGAATGTTTCTGTAAAGGCTCATTGTGAAGATTAATCATCCTTTCCCGTATCTCTGTTCAACCAATGCCTACAGATTTAGCTCTAGTTGATGTCTTTGAATACCAGCAGCTGGCAAAAAAAAGATTCAATCCATTTAGAAAACAAAAGATGCTTGCTGTCATAAGTGTGGTCTTGACAGCGTGCAGGAGAGGACAAACTGTGTCACCACTCTAATAATAAGCATTCAGCGGTGCTCCATTGTCCCTGTGCGCTTCATATGTATTTGATTTTATCCTCCTCATCAAAGATGTTGGGTGGAGGGGATGATATCAATGATCAAATCACTTTCAGGCGCTTACACAGCAATGTCAGCTCATCACCTGAATACGAAAGCACCCCCACCCTGCCTGTTGCCAACCCCCCCCCACACACACACACACACACACACACACACACATAAACCTCCGCCCATCCTGCCTCCCCTCTCCTGGTAAGCTATGCATTTCAGCACTAGGAGGAAAGCACTACACAGGGCTGGCCCAGGGTAGAGTATCATTAAATATATTGAGCTGGCCCCTTGCCGTCATCCTCCTCATGGCCAGGGTTAGCAGCTCTACATTCATCAGAACTAGCGCTGAAGGAGAGGCTAGAGAGAGCTGCTTCTTCATTTCTGAAAGAAAAAAAACCAAAAAGACGACAAGAAACAAAAGTGTGTCAAGACCTGCTGATGTTTTATAGTGTGAACCAAAGATGCTACCTCACTCAAGTTCCATACGTGATTTCTATCACTTTGATGATACCAAAGATAACCAAAGATTTTTTCTCATTGCACGGCCTCTATGAGTGGTGTTAAAAGATGTTGTATGTCTCCCCCTCCCCCCATCTCCTCTCTCTCTCTCTCTCTCTCTCTCTCTCTCTCTCTCTCCCCCTCTCTTCCTTTCTTCTCCCCTTTCTCCCCCTCCCACCTGCACTCAACCCATGCACCCCTGCTATGCGTGCTCTTGCTTCATCTGTGCTCTGATTACAGCTCCATAAGTAGTCATGCTGATGTAGCTATAGGCAGATATGCTGATCTAGCCATAGATACACACAAGTGGCCACGCAGGTGCCCAGAGGGTACAGCAAACTCCCAAGCAATGTGATCAGTCTTTATTTGTGGACTAGCACTACCAAAATATTCATTTCTACCACTTTATTGGCAGTAACGACAGATTCAAATGTAAAAGAGGACATTGTAGCAATGTGAGCATTTACTATTTGTTTGGTTCGAGATTAATTTCTAAATAATCTATGTGAATTTGATGAAGTACCCTGCCTGAGTGTTTTTTTTTTTAAATGCAGTTTTATTGCTACTTGGCCCTGCTTCTTAGTGTGTATCTATAGGTTGATATTATTGATCCACCAAATAGGTCAGCCATCTTTACATGACAGTAAGCAGACAAGCTGACATAGCCATGGGCAGAATTGTTGACTCAACTATAGGCAGACATGTTCCTGAAAGTAGAAGTAGACGTGTTGCAATCTTTCTAAAACTCCCAGGACGAGTGCCTTGCTTGAACCAAAGTGTTAAACCGCTGTTGACCTCTCACCTTTGACTCTGTGAATACCTCAGCCTGTAGAAGGGCCACTACTGAAGAAACAAGAAAAAGGTTTTTGTTTTTTTGATTTTTTTAATCACACCGTGGTGCTTTCGCCAGCGCAACCATGCAATGAAAACATACCAAAGGAATTTTTGTTGTCCACTTCTACAGATTAAACCAAAGGTCTTTGTTTCTCCTTTCCCCTGCCCCCTTTTACCCCTCCATCCCCCCTTCCCCTCAACCTTCCTTTTCTCCCTGCTGTGTGTACGAAGGTCCAGCACTCTGGCCGTGCATGTCTTTACCAATGTCTCTGAATACCTCATAGTAATAATTCCTTTGAGTTCTGCATTGAGACGTCTATCTGTGAGTAAGGCAGAACTCCACTCGTGTGGTAACTGTTATTGTTACTTCAAAAAGTTGTATGATTATCTATTTTGAAGTTGTTGGGTTTTTTTGGCAGAAGTGCTCTGTTTCAAGTCACGGAGGACAAGTTTCAGGGTTGATGTATGAAACTTAAGGGATGGAGGGAGAAGCGTATTTTTTATCAGACATTGGGTTATGCCAATATTATGATGGTAGACTATTGCTTTTACAGGGTAAAACCAACTGCTGTGATATTGTGTTCATATTTTCCCTTTTCTCTACTTCTGTGTTGTGATTTTAATTTAATTGCATTTTTGTAATGGTTAACCACTGCTTTAATTTATGCATTTGTAGAAACTCTAGATTTGTATATAGTAGGTTTTTGGAGAAAAAAACAAACAAAAAAGACAGTTTTATGTTACAGCCTTATTTCCCACGCTTAGATATAACAAAGGAGTAGTTTGTATTCTTCTTCAGCTAAATCCTAGCCGGCATTTCAATGTGTGTTTTAAACACTGCCAGAAACCCAGACAGTTGATTTGCCAATGCAGACAAAGTTATACAGGAGCTACTTTGTTGAACAGCTGGCAAAAAGCAGTGTGTATGTGTGTGTGTGTGTGTGTGTGTGTGTGTGTGTGTGTGTGTGTGTGTATTTTCTATTCTTTTGACTTTTTAAAAACTGTTATTTTATGGGTATTACTGCACATCCAAAGATTTTTAAAACAAACCAAAAATTGGAAAAAAAATATGTATAATGTTGAAAAGCACTGGCATTTGTGAGGTAGACTTGTTGAGTTTTGATTTGCCATTCGCACGGGTATAGAATGTAGAAGGCGTAGGGCTATGTAGACAAGCTTACTCTACCATGTGGGGAATCTCCTGTTCAATGTACAATCTGAAGCATTTGAAACGAGGGCTCCAAGTCCTGCTTACTTTGCTGTCTCATGCACAGAGTGAGGTGGAGTGTAGGCTGGGCAGCCGGTCTGCCAGGGGCTGTGCCACGGAGCTGGGTCTGTTTTTATTGCCGTGGCACTGCCGCCTCACTCCATCTAGTATCTGTTCTTTTGGTACGTACTCGTGTAATGACTATGAGCAAAGTCTAATAAAACTGCAAAGAACCTTACCAAGGAATCAGTGTGTGAGTGTGTATGGGGACGATCACCTGGACTGCTCATTTCTTTTACTGTCAGTGTAAGTGTGACTGTGTGTGTGTGACTGTGTGTATGTGTGTGTGTGTGTGTGTGTGTGTGTGTGTGTGTGTGTGTGTGTATGTGTGTGTGCAGCTCAAATGTCAAAGTACTGCTGAGGTAATACAAGTTTGTGTGTGTGTGCGGTGTGTGTGTGTGTGTGTGTGTGTGTGTGTGTGTGTGTGTGTGTGTGTGTGTGTGTGTGTGTGTGTGTTAATTTGCATGTATTTCTTTACTGTGTGTTGTATGTACTACAGGTGTGTATGCATGTGTGTGGCTGATTGGTGTGTATCACTACAGTAAGTTTGACTCCCTCTGGTTGTCAGAGGCCTTACTGCTAGTACTGCCTCCTCTCTGTCATGCAGACAGCACAGCATGTCCAAGGACTGAAGGTCATCACCAAAATGTCCATGGCAGATCACATCAGCATGTTATGCAGTCATTATGTCACAGAATGGAGAATGTTTTTCAGTAAAATACAGGTGCTTACAGTACATAACAGTAACAACAGTACAGGCCTGTATTAAAGAGGGAATGGATGATGCAGTGTGGATCTATTTTTCCCCCTATTTTATGTTATTTATTTTGTCCATAAGGAGTTCCCATATGATGGGTAGCTTGGCTACAAGTCTCATAACAATACTGCGGCGCCTAAGACAATCATCTGGATCTCTTACGCTGAGGGAACTAGTTTCTCGCCCGCAGAGGGGTGTCCTCCAGCTATTCATATACAAAGATGCTTGAAGGGTTTTGATAAACAAGCATATTTGTTGTCATAGACATTTAGGAATAGATTACAGTAGTAGTTCATCTTGCACTTGCATTTCAAAATGAAATCTCATTGCTTTCGTCAGCCTTGTGCTCTTGTCAACCTTGATCTCTTACTTTTGGCCTCCTTCTCAACTCACAATGCTTCTTCAGTTTTCAGAATGGGTGTGTGTGCGTGTGTGTGTGTATGCGTGTAGTGGTGTTTGTAGTGTGTGTGTGTGTGTGTGTGTGTGTGTGTGTGTGTGTGTGTGTGTGTGCGTGCGTGTGTGCGTGCGTGCGTGTGTGTCGGAGAGGCAATACTGTCGGTGTTACTCTCAGATGTATAACTCCATGTCTCATGACTTGATTTATCATTGCTGTTTCCCAGGCTTTGCTACTGCTTTCTCAGTGCCGTGCAATATCATCTGTTGTGATTGCTAAGCAAATGAAAAAAAAAGAAAGAAAATTGAGAAGCAAGTGATGATGTCATCCAGCTTTTTTCAGTGTTCAAATGTTTCAACATTTCTGTAGTCACAAAAAGTAGAAAATAAACGGTTGGTATTTCCAGCTTCTGAATCCTGGCTCTTGTTATTATTATTTTGTTTTTTGGTTTGTGCATCTTGTCTTGTTTCGCTCAGACAGGCAAATTGAATCAATGAAACATCAAATCAGATACGGAAGTAGAGGACAAGACAAGCAGGCATATGAGTTTGTCTTGGATGGGAACCTGCAAGATAAGTAGCTTCAATCACTGGATAGTTTATATTATATATGTCAGGGTTAGACACACCGGGGGAAATCAGATGCACACTGCATCAATGTATTCCCATCATGTCTTTTCTTTATAAATGCTATTTCTAAAAAAAAACATCAACCTCTTTTAAGCAACATCAACAAATTCTTAACTTTAAAAAAAGTGGTGTAAGGGGTTAATTCAAATGATAAATTGTTAATTTTGGAATAAAATTCTGATATAAACCACAGTCCGACAACAAAGATTAATTTATTCAAGATTTGTCTCAACCTGAAAAATTATTGCTAATGTTAGAGAGCTGTAAAGTCTTTTTAACTTGGTTATCTTCATATACTGCTGTGTCATGTCATTTTGGGTCAACCTTAATATAGCACCAATGGAAATGGAACCACCCACTCTGACAGTACACTGCCCGGAAGTATAAAGTTGAAGTAGGTATATTTAACCATTGAATTTCCTTTGTAGATCTGATGTAGCTGATAGTCAGACAGATAACACATTAGTTAGTTCATTGATTTATCTCAGCAGCACAACAATTAAAGTAGTAAGTAGATTTATTATTACCTTCCTCTGTTTGTGGTGTTAAACTCCACAAATCCATCTGTTAGAGATCCATACTGTCAGTGGTTGCACTGTGATTAGACTGATTTAATGTCTGAAGGTAAACTCTAAATTGCATATATATTGTGAAACTGGGAGATTTTCTTCAGGCTATATTTAGGAAGTTAAATCCAAATTCTCGATGGTCAAATACCAAGTTACATATTCTCTTTCTCAGTTAAACATTGAGTCAGTGGTAAATCATTGATCCTCACCACACTGAGCCACTGGGCTGCAGATAGCTCAGATCTATTTGGGCCAATGCTTGGATCAACTCTAGACACATGCCTGGAAATACCGCAATGATACAAGAGGAACAAGGTAAGTAAGATGTCTCAGCTAAATGTACGTGTGAAGACAATTAGCCTGGTGAATACTGTATGCAAAAAAAAAAAAAAAAATACATATACAATTTAAGACAAATTATTCTGCAATTCAACAATTCAAACAAATACAAACAAGGACATGATACAATTTCCTTTTAGTCATCCACCTTACTTGCAACTCTAATAATGTGGGATAGATAGATTGCAATTTCAATGAATACAAGTAGTATTGGTTCTCTCTATTTGCTGCATTGCTTGTATACTGCCACTAGATGGGGCTATGGCATGGTTTTTCCACTCACAAGAACTTCTTTGTTTGCATTTACAACATGCTTAAAGGGAAAATTCACACTAAAAGAAGATAATTTAAACTCCCTATTCAATAATAACAATAACAGTGGACACTAAAATCAATACAACACAGACTGGGTCCCCACATTGGAACTCAGAGTATCAAGACCTAAACTGATCTTTGGTTAATTTACACTGAACACTGTTCGCTACAGACACAGATATTAAATCTTCCAGTGAAGAGCTGCATCCATTAGGATATGTCCCCATATATCAGCAAGGGTGTTGTCATAGCTTTCTAGGAGTTGCTACTGTTAGCTCCAGGATTTATCTCTAAATGGCATCATCACACTAACTACAGCCCTAAGTGTGATGCAGGTCTTTGCAGCTCATTGCAAACCGCAAGTTACAATGTCAGCTTCCCCTACGAAAATAACACAGCCCTTAGTTCCAGGTTGGGCTGTGACTGGCTGTTTGCAGAAGTACAATTAAACCGGACCAAATTACAGTTTAAACACCCGTGTAACTCCAGTATGGCTGATCTTGACAAAGATGCTAGACACTAAATATGGTATTTTTAAAAGGAAAGTCATCAAATTCAGAGAATTTCTCATTTATACAAATTAGAACTAGACTTTGCACAATAACTAAAAGTAGGATGTGCAATCAGTTTCAGAATAAGAATTCCTCTTTAACCGCATAGCTCATGTCTGTCTGTCAACATTGTTGTTAACTACTCAGTAACACACCTAGTACATTTTTTAGCCCTTTGATAACAACTGAACAATGGCTCTGACATGGTATCTTTAACCCCTGACCGACACCAGCAACCCAATCCCCACGATCAGCACCCTTTACACAGCTGTTCCTCAGATAAAACCTTCATAGGAAGCCACATGGTTTCTTATGTTGTTGTCAGTTGGCTTTGTCATGTGCAGGATCACAGACGGGTGAAAGACTGACAGCAGTTGTTTGACATCATTCTGGTGTAAATCAGTGGCAGTAGACTAACTGAGTACTCTTTGCTTCCATGCCAGATAAATGCCCAATATAAACTGGTAGATGTTTGCATTGTTATTGTGGACTTTACGACCCCACATTGTCTGGGCAACTTCTCTCTCGTATCAGAAACAAAGCACAACTCAGTCAATTTAAAATTCAATAGGCTCACAACAAATAGGCTGACAGGCAGCAGCTTTTTTTTTTTTAGCATAGTCTATTAAAACATTATAATAATACAAGTCATTTTCAACCAAGCTGAAGTCCACTCTATAGAGTATTTCTGTGTGCAGCAAGCAACAATAACACCCAAAGTGCAACTGCAGCTGCCAAACAGATTTGTCAAGCAGATTCTAGTGTCCTCATTTTGGCCTTTGCCTTTGTTCCAAGAGGTTTTAACAGAGAAGAGATTAAAACAAAGAGCTCTCCCTCTGTCCTTCTTTCATTTGTACCAATACGACAATGGACCACATCCTTATTAGGTTCTAGATCTATTTGGTTTTATTTATCTTCACATGCTGAAGTTCAGTTTTAACTGTTTTTCTGGAAAAAATAAACAGTTTTTTTGTGTGTCATGGGGCATATTTGTTATAGAGGTCGGACACAGTTGGGTTTTCATTCCAATCTGATGTTGTATCTGGCATTGCTTTGCCATAACATCGCCTTGGGCTTGAATATAGTGCTGTGTAACTATTTTTAGTGCATAAGTCCGTTCACACTGTCGGGTGTGGCTAAACAGGTCTCATTTGTTTTGGCACAATGTTGGCCTGCTATGGTTTACATTGATTTAAAACTACTTTGAAAGTGAGTGAGTGAGTCTGTCAGCCAGTCAGGACTTTGTACGGCAACACATAAGATCTTTGGCTTCGTACAGGCCAAGGAAGCCAGGACAAAATGTTCGCGACGGAAAAAAACGAACCCTCACGTGCGCACGTGGACGCTCACCGAATACCAGTGACCAATCAGCTCACGGAGAGAAGAGCCTCTCTCTCGTTTGGACCCTTTCCCCCGCTCACACGCCCGGTGTCATCCGTCTAACAGAACCGTAGAGAAACAAATCCAGGTCGTGCTTTTATTTTTAACCGCGTCTTCATCAGATACGGCGCGTCTTCCTCGGAAGTTTTTAGGTACCAAACTTGGCGGTTGCTATGGCTGCGAGTTCATGCGAGGCTGGTAGAGAGGGAAGTGACGACTGGGGCTGTTGTTGGGACACGTGACTGGAGCTGCACTGATCTGTTTTGACAAGCATTGGGGAGGGAAGCGAGGAGGGGAGGCAGACTGTAAGCATCACGACTAGGAGGACTCACTGTTCCTTTCATCTGCATTTCGCCTGAATAATATCAGTATCGACCCAGACTTGTAGTTGTAGCAGCCAGCTGGCCTGTCAGCGGTGAAAAACAACAAAAAAACATCAGCTGCTACTCGGTTAACGTCGCCGTGATACCGACGCGGTCGAGCGGAGTCGTGCTATTTGTTGTTGGTTTGAAAAGTTTTAATGAAGAAGGCAGAGGAAGTCAGCACAGGTGGCGTTTCTAGCGTTAAGTAGATGGCGACGACTGAGACACTGTGGATGGGTAGAAAGTGGACCACATCCGGTTAACATTTCGTGAGAAGAATGATACGCTGAATATGTTCTCGTCGTAGCATTAAAAAAAAAGGGCTACCGAGACCGTCCGTCACCGGAATCAGCGTTTGTAGCTGAGCTGTGGCTACCTGCGCTACAGTGGGGGTTGGGATGTGTGGGACGTCGTCGTCGCCAGTAGACACTTAACCGACCGCAGAGTCACGATAAAAGTTAGTTAGTAGTGTTTGCTATCTAGCTAACACTGCTGAGTTAGCAGCCCCCCCTCGTTGTGGCAGAGTGCCGTTGCGAGGAGTCAACGTTACGGCAGAGGAGACACAGACATGCATCGCGACGTAACTATGGTTCAGGTGGTGGAATTTGAGACGGGCTATAAGAGTAGTCCGCTTGCTAGTTAAATTATTAGTAGGCAGATTGGTTACTTGCTAGCAAGCAGGTTGACAGCCACATTACTTAACGCGAAGTGTTACTGGCATTCGCTATCAGCTGTCTTTGTGGACAATACAGTGCGACTCAATGGAAGCGTACAGTAGCATGCTAACAAAGCAATGCTTTGTTGTTGGATAGGGGGCAGCTGGCACCAACTCACAGCCTTCACAGCTGATATTATTGCTTAGCTAGTACAGCAGGTCTTAGTCTCAGAGGGTTTTGGGGGGGTCCAGACACACTGTGTGTTTCTGTGTGATAGAAGGAAAAAAAAAAAACAGAAGACCCTGCAAGAGTCCCCAAAGGCAACCTGATGACACTGGACAACATGAAGCCCGAGCGAGGTATGTGGAGCACCAGAAACACACAGACACATGGGGCTGGGTTTTGATGGTCAATGTGTGGGCAAGCTGTACAGTTCCAGCTTTAGTGGACTGACTGTACCCATTCCTCTGAGAGAAGAATCAGGCCAGGGAATTATGTAACAGCTGGTCAGCCTGGTCACCGGTTATGTGAATTAACAAAGCCTGACCCGAGTCAGTGAGGACGTGTACATGCAACACACATTTGCCGCTCTAGTTCTGGATGTGAACATGGATGTCAGCTGTTTCTTTTCCCCATTTCTACATCACCATATAACCTGCAAGCATCATCTCATGCCAAACGCTGTTCCCTTTTCCACTAGCTCTTGTTTTGACAGTCTCTTGCACAGTGCTGCTGCAAAATATTCTTGACACCCACCCTGTTGTGGAAATAAGGCTCTTGCCGTATGCTCTGCAACCTGTTTACATGTCGCTGTATCTGCAGCAAGAGGTAAAACAGGGACAGAGGGGACACCCTTGTTTGTTTCAACCTGATTCTGCTAATTTTACTGTGGCATTAATTTGTAAAGGGTATCTCAGTACCTTAATCTCTGCCCAGACACAATTAACATTATTGTATAAGCTAAATGATTCACTCTGTGATTGATTGTACATGGTTGCTTGTGATCCAGGGTAGCTGGTGGCTTGATCTGTTGTCAACAACACAATAGCACCATACTTGGAAGCAGTGAAGGACCACTGTTCTCAGTCATGATGAGATTAGCTGCAGTCAATCAGGGATAGTCGGTGTGTATGCATACGTTATGAAACTGCAGTCAGGCTGCTGACTGGCCTGAGTGGGCTCTTCCTTAGAGCACAATATGCTGGTAATGGGACTCCACAACAAACAATAAACATGTGCCCTATATGGGCCTAGACTTTTAACCCTAGCCTTGCCTCTCCTTGCCTGCAGGATCCTAAGCCTTTATATAGAAGCACTGACCCAGACATTTGTGTGATGTGCCTGGCCAGAGTAAAGGGCACACTGACTAGCAATGTACAGTGTAATTATAGCCTAATAATGCAGCACAGCATTCAGGATCAACTGTGAAGAGTAAACAGCAACACGGTGCTGTTGTATATTGTAGTGTTAGTTGGGATATTGAGATTTACCAAAATACATGTTGTGTGTATGCCTACCTTGTATCAGCCAAAAAGAGTGAGAACTGTTGTCCTGAGGCACATTACTTCAACACGTTTGTTCCTCACCCTTTCATGGATTGTCACTGTGTCAGGTTGACTCACTCAGTGTCATGTTCTAATTATGAAAGCTTGTGCCAGTAGAAGCTGCTCCACAGCAGTAGCTCCCTGTTTGACTGGCAGACACTGTGGGGCTATTGTTATTTGGAACATACTGTACCGTTCCTCTTGTGGAGATACCAGATTGCTTATAGCCCAGATGCCTTCCTTCTTTTGCCTTAGTTTCTCCTCTCCCTGCTCTCAGAGAAAAGCACTGCAGTGGTGAGAGAAGTTGTTTACTTAGTAGCCTGGACCAAAGGAAGGTCAAGTTGAGCGCAGAATGGACAGGTTCACAGAGCAAGTTTGAAGGGGAGAGCTGAACAAGTCCAGACATGTTCATCTAGCACTAAAGCTCCTGCAACAAGTCTCTCAGGATGTGACCTCCTGATCAGGTGCGTGTGAAATGTCAAGCCAAGGCTTTGGGTGGGTGATAAGGTGATGAATCAGGCTGTACCCTGCAACACCTTGGCTCTCGTGCCACCTTTAGCACCTTGAGAGGGGACTGTGGGAACTAGTGACGCTCAAATCAAACGTATTGAATCAGTATCTGTGCTGACGTTAATGAACAGGTCCCATAGCAGGCTGGTGTGACCGATCCAAATCAAGTCACCGCCGTAAACACACAATTTAATTATGATTTTGTATGAATGTCCCCCACGTACACTTAGGAAGTGATGTTAGAGCCTCATATTAGAATGAATGAATTAATGGTCCCAACTAGTTCAATCCTGTCAGCTAATACATATTAAAACTAGAGAACAAAAAGGACCTCTGGCATCAATTGGGAAACCTGTATCACCTAATACCCTGGGTTTGAGTGTCATAGTTGGTGTCCAAAGAAGAAAAAAAGAAATCATTCAGATAGATGAGTAGAATTTTTTCTTCATGTTCTTGCAACATCTCTTGGTGGTGCTTTGTAAACCATGCTTTTGTTATAAAGGGAGAAGAGGAGTACTTGTATTCTTCTCAGGGGCCTAACCAGAGTCATCTGACCCCCTTGTTTTTCTGTGAGTTTGAGCTGTGAGTCAGGATGGCGTGTACAAGTGTGTGCGGGTGTGAGGAGAGAGTCAGTGTGGCACAGAGTACGCAACAGATTGCTGTTGGCCCTAATAAGCGCTGTACCGTTGAACCATGTGGCTCAACTGACAGCTTTTACAGGTCCTGTAAAGAGAAGCTATGGGAAAACTCAGGACCTGTTTACACCAGTCGGGGAAAACATGGCCTGTCGTATCAGGTTTCAAACCGTTTCAGCTAGAATGTGGTTAAGATGGGTTTTCTTTGTATCCTTAAAAACATTGTTTTTAGTGTGTTGTCTCCACATATAGTAGGGCAAAGTTTGATTCGAAAACCACATTGGAATTGTTTACACCATATAAATAGGCTGTTTTTGCTCAACTGTGGTCCTCTTCACAACCCAATCACAGTAGGGACATTACAAATAAAAAATAAAAAATTGCATTAGATGGTAGTGAAATGTATGAGCAAAGAGCAAAGAATGGCGACTGTGTGCCTCCTCCTTTAAGCCCTCAACCACAGCTCTCCTTCTCTCCCTTGTTCAGGCAAGTTAAACAACATACAGAGAGATGACCTCAGAGCTAGTCATGTTGGAGAGACGCAGTCAGCTGGCAAGCCTCAGCGTTGTGCTCCTGATCCCTGTAATGTTATTTGGTGTGTTTGTTTGGTGGTGCTTCCTGTTTGGAGCCATTAGTCCTTTAAGGAGGACTCGAACGCAAGTCCACCCCCCACCCAACTTACTTCACTGTCTGCCTTCTGCTGTGCGCTCAGCCAGATTACAGCTGCCCTGAGACGTCCCAGCCACATGCCAGTGGATCAGAGTATACACTCTCACTGAGAAGAGACCCAGATAACGCAGAGCGACATACACTGTTGTCCCATACAACACCTGTCTAGTCCTGTGTTGTCTTTGCCTCCTCCTCGCCGGTGATTTACCCCATAGGCAGCCACAACAGGTGCTGTCTTCTGTTTTACTCATCTCGCACAGTTGGAGTCCATCTGTATATATTTTTTCCCTTTCTTGATTGATTCGTTTATGTTCTTGGTTACATTAAACACATTAAGACTAGTGCTGGGTGGTAGTACTGTCTTTATTTTTTTTTATTCCAAAACACATCCTGTCATCTGTCATTTGTCATTACTTATTTTGTGTATAGAAATTGCACAGCAGAAACAGATAAATAAAAAAAAAGGTAATTGAGATTTTAAAAAAAAATCCTATTTCCTGTTAATGCATACACAATCTTAGGTATTAATTTGATCAGCTAATTTAGGTCAACGTGAGTGTTTCATCATATTGCTTTTTCAATACAACATCACTGCGATTTGCTGACCCAGCTGCACTGAACATGGATATTGGACTCCCCATTGTACAGCGAGATTCAGGCCTGCCTTTCGCAATGAATACCAATACTGGGTAGGCATTCAGCTGTGAGTTACTATCCTGGCCCCCGGAGTAATCAGCCTAAATCAATGCTGTTGTGACAGCTTTGACTGTAAGTAGCCTAGCCTTGCCTAGCCGCTGCATGGGATTGGGCACCCAGTCCTCCCAGTCCAGCAATGCTCTTACATAATGCTGGGACAATTTATTTAGCACACCAACACTTTAACAGGACACATATACAAGTGTACTGTTACCCTATATATATATATATATATATATATATATAGTGAGCTGTTTCCAGATGCACAGAAATAAAACCATGTGTTTATATTTAGTACAGCTACTTTGTGTTCAAAGGCTATATGGACACACGGAAATACACCACCCAGACTTAGTGCTGGACTGGCTGAAGGTGAAAGAAGCAGCATGGGTCATATTTCTGCTGCCAGGGTGCCACTGAGCAAGTGATGTCATTTGCTTGTGTGTTCGTCACATCCTCCCGTCCCCGTGGCTCCTCATAGCCAACCAGCAGCCAGCACTGCAGGAACAGGAAGAGCCATCTGGACCTGGTGGTTTTCTCATGGTAGGGGTGGTGTTGTGGTGGGGACAATGTCTCTTTCTCGCTCTGTATTTCAGTTTCTGTGTCTTTTATTTTTGTCTTTTATCTTTGGCATATTCAGTTCGTCTTGGGTTGTGTCTCGCAAGGTTTCAGATTAATGTTGAACACATTAACAAGGGTAGTAAAAAAGTTTTTTGTTTGTTTTTTTTGTCAACAAAGTGGCCGAAACTCTATAATACGTATATTAGGACTTCATCTCCATGATCTATTAAACCCTTGTGCCATCTATACTGCATCCTTCCTTCCACTATTAATACCTGATGTGACATAAGTAGACCTAAGTTCTGTGGGAGTGGGACTCGCACACCTCTCTCAGAAACCACATACTAAAGAAAAACACAAGCACTCCGGCCTGGCACGAATATTTCAAGTATTTCTTTGTCATGCTTCCACCATGTCTGTTATTTTTGTAACTGAGTAACCAAAATGACAGCTTCTTGTTTATCTCAGCAGTGTTTACATAGGAGTATTTTAGGGGATGTGTGATTGTTGTTATTCTGCTAAGATTTGTCAGGAGGAAAGACCTTGTTCAGGCAATTCTTTCTGACCTTGCAATGAATCAACGTTCCCAGTCCCCGCTCCGCTGCTCTTCTTTTACCTATGCTATCTCACCCTTCCTTTCTTTTTCTCTCCTGTCATCTGAGTCACATAGGCTTCAGCTTCTGTAACACCTCAGCACTTAACACCTCCACCACCACTATCTGCTGAACATATCTAGACAAAAAG